AGTAATCTATAAATTCTGAAATTACTCAAGTAAAAAAAAAAAAACGCTATTTAAATAAATAAAATTTTATAAAATTTTATTATTGTGAACAGAGTCATGCTAAAAAAATTACTGTACATACCGTTTACGTGGTAATTTCATATTAACACCTCAAAATTTTTAATAGCATCATCGAATTTTTATTGGTTAAAATTATTTAATTATAATATTATGTTAATATTTCATAGACATTAAGATAGATTTGATTCTAGGACTTTTCATCTTCATAATAATAATAATAATAAAACATACCGATCACTGATCAGAATAATATAGAAAATATTATTGTCAATTTATAGTTTATATTATGAATTATGATAAATAAATTATTATGTATTAATTACTTAAAATAATTTTATAAAACGATTATCGATAAGTCGATAACGATTACGCCGAAACGTCTTTCGACTATTTGTAGTAAGTAGAAAACAGTTATTAATATTGAGAGAGATCTAAGAACTAAAATTAGTTAAGACAAAATAATAAATAATTTTAGTATGTCTCAAAGACGTATATCTTTAATATAATATTTAAATAAAAATAAAAAATGTAATTACTTAACAGTTATACTTACAATTATTGTTTTATTTTCTTTGTTTATATTTTGTTTTATTAATACATAACGTAACGAAAATGAATGAATGGTGAATGGTAGGAAAGTAGTGCGAAGGAAAAGTCATCCACAGGTCGTTTTGGTCAACATAATGTAGCACTCCCATACAATTAATGCAAATTGCGTAATAATAAATAATAATTACTATACATATAATGCACATTATATTATTATACTACCGTCTACTACGGCGGTCTTTGATATATTCGAAGCCACATTCGTGTGTGTCGCCGATTTTAGAATTTTCATACAGCAATACGTATGCACTATCTCGTCTGTCATCGTCTTACAAAAGCACTGCACATTATAGGAAATTTGCATTCAGCAGACCTTGTTATTTGTCAACTATTCTTTACATGTAGTAAATTTACCTGTAATAAAACTGAAAGGTAAAAATACTATCTATGGAATCTTTGCAATATTAATGCTCATAAACCGCATTAAAATTTAAATATCAATAAAAACATACTCGATGCCGTAGATTATATTTTTACTTTTAAATGTAATAATAGGTCAATTTATTTAAATATTAAAGCTATTAACAACACAAAATTGGTTCAACTAAACGTAAATTTGCTGTTGTACGGTTTTAAAATGATGTCGTTAAGACATACTAATACTATTACTGATATTATACTATTGAATTTTGATTTTAATTATCTCAGCAAAAAGAATATTTTTTGAACATTTTGACATATGTATTATTTAACGAATGTATCGGGCTAATTGTTTAACCATATTTCTATTTCTTAGAATTGAAGAGAAGACAAGGTTATAGTCTAAAAATACACAAAGAAATGTTTACCTCTGGCTCTCCTCATTCATCTGTAGGTCTTAACTTAAATCGTTATGACTTGTGATTACTATAAACCATTTGTCAGTTGTATCCAATATTAGATTTATATTATCGATTAAAACCATAACAGATTTTAAATCCATGGGCAGGACTATTCGCTTTTCGCCCAAATATGATGTTAAAACTTATTTTCTTTTTGCTCAAGAATAGGTATTATAACACTTTCAAATTAAATTTTTTTAATACATTGCACTTGCGGAAACACTCTAATATTTATTTTTGTAAATTAATTTTATAAAACCATTTAGCATTACCCAGAGAGTACCACAAGTTATTGGCTTTTATTACTCTTCGTAAATGTATTGTGTATTTTTCAATTATTACAATGATGCGTTAAGAATAAAAAAGAATGGATTTGTGTTAAGAATATTATAAATTTAAAAAAAAAATGTGATATGAAAAATATATTTATTAAATTTGTAATTTATCTATAAGTAATTAAAATTAATTGTTTACTAAAGTATGTGACAAGTGTCATAAAAATGTTATCAAAAAGTGCTATACTATTTTTGGGCTTAAAAAGAAAATAATTTAAAAATATTTGGGCAAACGGAGACTTGCCTTAAATTTAGTAAGATTTACTATATAAATGTAGTGGAGGTATACCTACCTAAAAAAAAATTTTATTTCATTTTAGTTTCTTAGTGGACCACACAATAATAATAGTCAATAAAATATTACGATTTTTTAAAATGAGTGTAGTTATGAATAAAAATTAGATTTATAATTTATGTAATATTAGAGAAATCAAAATAAAAAATTCTCTACTTTGTTACAATTGAAAAAATTGAAAAAATTTAGGAAAACAGTAATTTTTGGTATTGGCCAGCGATATATACTATTAATTATCGATATTGTATTTATTTTTTTCCAATATAATATCGTAAAATTAGAATAATACCGGCATTAATATCGATTTAAATAACAACATATTTATTAACAAGTTACATTTTATACAATTTAGTTTATTGAAAGCATATTAAAAGTATAGAATACATATTACGAGTATATAAACAACAGCACATTTGCACTGTTTACAAAAACTTAATTTTTATTTAATACAATCCCCTTTGGCCTTTTTATTAACTTTAAAATCAAAATGTTGCTACATATCACTCCTAGCGCTAAACAACAGAACTAATTTAAAGTTTTCACTCATTTTGTTTAATAAAAATAATAAATATAAAATAATACAAAATAAAATAATTACGACGTCTCATCGCGAGTTAACAACCGACACTGAATTTAGTTTAAATTGTTTAGTATAGTGGTGAATTATTCCTTTGAAACATATCGCCTCGTATCATAATTTAGTATTTACTTTATACATTTATAGATAGATATTATAATTTTATTTTATACTGTTTACTCAGTTTAGTGTTTAATCGTCCGTAAAATCTCGAACCTAGATTAACCCCGATATCGCTATATTTTTGATATTTATATTTAAATATCTATATCGAAATTATTAAGAAAATACCCACGATATCAATATTGTTAGCTAACACTAGTAATTTTTACGCAAATCAATTTTTGATAAAATCGATTTTGTTTTTGTTTTTGATGCGATTAGAAAACAAAAAAATTATAGATATTTAAAATTTTCAAAATATTTTGAATAATTTTAAGCTATTTAAAGGTATAATAAATTTTCATTTTTCTAGTTTTTTCATTCTATAAATTTCGATTGTAAATTATTCACTGGGTAGAAAATTGAGAAAATTTAACTTAAAGCTTTTCATAAGTTGTAAAATTTCTCGATTAAAAAAAAATCGAAAATATTTATTTTTATAAATATTCAAAGTTAGAACTTTGAAAAAATTCCTAAAATCCACAAATATCAATAAATTACTTTGTAGTTAAAAATTTACAAAATATTTGTTTTTATACCTAAGATTTGAAAATGTAATACAAGATTCATTATAAGTTTTTCATCCTATAAGTAAAAAAAAAACCTATCGGATAACTCTTTCCTACCTTTTATTACTTTTAAAATATATTTTTGTTGTCGTCTGATACTCCAAAAATCTACCAGCTACTAAAAGCAAACTGAAAACAGTAATGCATTACCATATATAAAAAAAATGTAATTATAAAAATATCATTATTTTTACTTATCTTTATATTGCGTTTGTAAAAATTACAAACACGAAATATGGATTAAGTTAAGTCGTGAAAATGCAAAAAATGATAAAAAAAAAAAAAATATAAAAAAATAATAATATATTTATATTTTTAAATATAAAAATCATAAAAATTGATAATAGCTTACTAAATTTTAAAATTTTAAAAATAATCGTATCCACGCGTTACATTTGTCGGGAATATATGATAAAATTAAATTACATTAGTGCTTGTGATGGATAATCAGAAACATTATCGGAAACACAAGTTCCAGATGAATGTACCTATTCTTTAGTGGCTTAATCACGGATAAAAAAAATTGTATTCTTAAAAGCTTATATTTACTTGTACTAGGTATTCCTTTGTTCATAGTCTATTACTCTATTCGAAACCGTACTATCGGGTTTTTGTTTTTACATAGGTATCATAAATGATGCGATTTTTAAGGCCTAGAACCATGTGATTATTCTAATACTGAAAAGTGGTGAAAGATGAGTAGCACCAACGAAAATTTATTAATTTTTTTCTTTTATGTTTATACATGTACTATAGTAGAGTAGTGCGTACCTACGTGTCTACAACGAGTTACAAACGGTGGTTACCGTCACAACTAATAGTTTTGTATAAAATAATAATAAAACATATTAGTCACTATACTATACTTATATCTGATGCTATTGATATGAAGTTAAATCAAAATGCTGTCAATAGCCATCAATCATCATACACATAACTTGACTATCATTGAATTCAAATTAAACATACCCAGAATAATGTGTTTATTCCAGATCTTCTAACCCGTGAGGGAGGGGGAATCGTACATTTTTAAGAGGGTACAATAAAATAAGAGCAAATAGTGGAGGGAAGTAAAAATAAATCTAAATTACATACAATATTTTGTTCACACAAGAAGTGTCCTCAATAATTGATTAATTAATTATTAATGAGTAATGGCCAATACAATAACCTATAACCTCTATCATAATATTTAATTTTATTGTTAGTTGATATAGCAAGTTTTACATTTTTCTCTGGAGATGGGGGTAATAATACCCCCCGGGCCCCCCAATGATCATCCCCCCCACGAAATAATTTCGATCAACAACAGGGCGGTTTGTTCTAGTCTGCATTTTTCAATCTGATATTACATATCAACATGGAAATAAGAAAATAGCATTTATAGATACATTTATATATTTCAAAAATCATTAAAAATAAAAAAATATAATTATAAGCCTAATTTAATTATTGTAGCACCAAGTTTTATTCAAAATAAGGAAAAAATAATACATAATAAAATGGATAGAATATGTTGTAGGATCATGTAGTGTTTAAAAAAAATTAGTTAATTAATATAGGTAAATATTTATTTAATTTATATTGAACTGCAATTACAAAGATATTTTTTAGATAACATTTTTGCTAAGTGTTATTTAAAAATATTCTACTAAAGGGTGATAAATGTCCTAACATTCAGTTGGTAATCTTTGATTAATAACATACTAAATAAAATAATTTTGAATATTTTTAAATTCATTATTACTCGTAGTCTTATGTGCGATATCTAAGTATATGAAATATGTAGGTCAGTGACTAATTTATTAGATATCCTTAGGTTGTTCTTAAGTGATGGGATTTATTATTTTAATTATTTATTATAATAACCATTTTTATAAGAATAATATTGTAACTTTTCTTCTACAAGGCCCAATATTACACGGGAACCATGTTACTATATTCAATTTAAACTAAATTAGTTAATAAATTATTAAATATTCCAATATTAAGAAAGAATATAAAATTAATATTTTAATACTTATTAAATATGTCATTAAAAAAAATATATTAATCTTAAATATACTGATGCTACAAGGATTGAACTAAATAATCAAAATTTAAATGTTTATAGATATCAAAATTTTAAATATTAATAGATATCAAAATTGATTACAATATTAAATAAAAATAAAAATAAATTAGGAAGCTTCAGTCGTAGGGGTAGGACTTGAAGGAGGAGATGGACTGTCTATTTCAATTACTACTCCTTGTTCAGAGCTGGTAACAGCTTGTTGCGGTTGTACTTGAGCTTGCGGTTTTAAATCAACTACAGCAATTGGTTCTATAGCGTCAGCTGCTTGGGCTTCATTTTCTTGTTTATCTTTTTCTTTTGGCGGTTCTTCATCGTCACTTAATGTCAAATCGATAAAAGATGACTTTAAGTTTTCAGATTCTGGGGGTCTAGAACTTTCAGGGCAAGGTTCTGTTTTTGGTTCAATGCATTTTTCATCGTCACTGTCTAAGTCTACAGAATCAATAGGTTTTACTTTGGTATCAGGAGTACTATTGGTGTTTTTTGTCTCTTTATTTTCTTCATAAACTATCCATGTGCCATCAGCCAAAATTTCAATTTCCTTACTGCAATATTTGAGTGTTGGACTTGAAACAATGTCCAAAAAATAATTTTCTATTTGTATATCATCATACAAACAAGGTTTATTGCAAGTTGGACACATCCATGTTGGCTTTTTCTCATTCATTAAAATAAATGTACTAGCATCAAAACATTGTAAATGATCACAATGAATAGATTTTGCTGGTATCTTCATTCTCATTTTACCCAATGGACACACCAAGGAAAAACGATAAGATGTAGTGGCCAAATCTGGATCAACATCAGCTAACTTTTTAATTATATAGTTTTTAGTTTCTTCAGAACTCCTCCCTCCTTTATCTTGAAGTTTTTTTAGTAAAGTTTCTGCAGTCAATTTTTTTACAATATACATTGCTAGAACGTAATTTTTTCCATCAGGAGTCCAATTTATAGTGATTGTGTTACTAACGATTGGAGAAAGTTTAACAAGTTGAGTGCAATTGATAGGTCTTGCAGTTCGTCTAGATTCAGTTCCTGGTCGAGTATTAGGAGCAGTAGGTGGTAATGGACATGCTTTTAAACCAAGTCGTATGTGTAATCCAAGAGGCATATAATCAGTACACTCGCTAGTTATAGGCTCTACCAACTGACAGATTCGAATCTGGAACTGATAGATATATTCATTTTTTCCAGGAGAAATGTCACGATTCATGGCAACGAGATTGGCGTGTTCACATGACAAAAGAAGTTTAAATGTAGTTTCTTTCATACCTGAAATAAAATAAATATTATAAATTTAATAAAATTAAATTTAAAAAAATAATCATAAAATATTACTACCTCTAGGAGCGTTTTGTAATGTATTTCTGTCCATGCCAGTTAGAAGAGTTGGCTTAATAACTTCATCAACAACATCATAAAATGGTAATTTTTTGAACTTGATTTGGGCTACAGTTTCAAGAGATGGGGTGTAAGAATTGTTTCCACTACCCGATGTTTTCATATCATATCCCAATGCATCTTGTGATACCATATTTATTTGTTGATTTGAAGGTAATTGAGATGATACTATAGTAGTACGAGGTCCAGATGGCTGATAACTGCCAGATATATACTGAATATTATTGTTAGCCATAGTATTTCCAGGAATAGAATTTGCTCCTATGTGGTTACTATACATGCCTCTTTGCATTTGAGGCATAACTTGAGGTAATCCAGCTCGTGCCATATGCATCGGTTGTTGAGGATATTGTGGTGGTTGATACATTCTTTGTGGCGGGTTCTGTATCTGATTAATAGATACCATCTGCCTTTGTTGTTGATTTTGCAATAAACTACGCATCATAATATCATTATTAGGAGGCATATCATTTTGCATGGAACGATATATATCATATATTTTTCCTACATATGATGAATAACTCATTCCAGGTGGTCTAGATCTTAACAATTCAATTGCTCGATCTTTTAATTCAGATTTTCGGCCTGCTTTATTTCGACCAAAAGCTCCCAATAGTGTTTGCAAATCATTAGTCCGGAAACTACTTAGCATATTTTTATAACCGTCATCAGCATAATTAGCCAAATTATTCATTGTTCCTAAAAAAAAATAATTAAATTATTAAATTTCTAGTTTTAATAATTACATAATAATAATAAATATATTATCTATAAAATATAATACATAACATGGGTATAAGATATAATAATATCTATTATCTTTTTAGATTTATAATAAATTTAAAGTATGGTAACTAGATAAAATCCTATGAAGGGTGACACAAATATTTGAAAGCTTGCCTCAGAACAGATCAATCTGATTTTTTTTGTTACTAGATGTCAGATAGGCTCATAGAACAATTATATTTATAAGATATTATATTATTTATTATAGCGTGAACAGAATTTAAATAAGTAAAATTGTGATTAAAATAAATAAATGTATTAGCGAAGTTGCTAGGATAACTTAATTAAATTATTGGTATTTTTCTCATATGCGGTCTACCGCACACTTGTCGTCTACAACACATATTTTTACACGTTATACACAGTCTACCCAATTTTTTGTCAATTACACCAATGGTACACAGACACAACATGTAGAAAGTTTATAGGGAAATTTAAAAAAAATGCACGGTACATCGCCATCATTGCTGCCCTTATATTTGGCAGAACAATAATGACAACACATTTGAATTTTTTTTAAGAGATGTAAAATTATACCTATTTATAATTTAAATAATAAAAATAGTCACTTTTATATATTAACATATATATAATGTATTAATATATATCTTTTTATATAGAAAATTAGATTATGACATGTATTATCAAATTATTGCTTTAATTGTGTTTTATTAAATATATTATAATCCTACATTTGTATTCATTAATAAAATTGTTTTATCTATGTGGTAGACTATGTGGACGTGTATTAAAGGGCGATACTTAATACCTATGATAAGAATATCAAATTAGATAGTAGTTGTTTGGGACAATCTAGGTACCTACTGTAATGTAAAATTGGTCAGAAAAAAAGTTCACAAAAAAAAAAAAAAAAAAAAAATGTCTAGATAAAATATTTATGGAACTATGTACAAGAAAGGGAATTTTATTAGTTTTCTAAGTATTTCGAAATACATTGACATTTGAAAATTACTAATTATTTCATACTTAAAAATAGATTATTTCTAATAATATAAATTTTTTGTGTGATACATTAGTTCTTTTTTAATTTATACTTTATTTAATGGATTTATTATTGTGAATAGAAAAAGTGCACAATAGCAATTCACTGTTATGCTCTTGTTCTTCATAAGGTATTTTGATATCATTTCTTTTTAAACATATTCTTTTTTTCTTTTTTATTACAAAATTTTAATTTTATCTTTTATTTTACTAATTGAATAACGGGTAATTTAACTTTTGACATATTTTTATTAGTATTTAAGTAAAATTAATGTTTTACACATTAACTGCTACTGATTGTTAAAATTAACAATTTTTGCTGAATAATTAATCCAATAAGTTATCAATCTGCCAGCATAATAAACAACAAATAAATGTTAACAGATTGATTTGTTATTTATTACTACAAATGTCTCTGGTTATTACTTATTACATCATCTTCATAACTTATCGCTATACTTGTTTAAAATAAAATTATGATCAATTAGGCGAAACATACATTGAAACTAACCATGTACCTATTAGTAGCTAGAAATAATTAAATGTCTTATTAGTTATTACAATCATAACTACATACAATAATCACAACAATAACTATTTTAATATCAACAATCGTAACTATGTATTGGTAACAAAAAAATGTTCTAAACTTAAGTTCAAAAAATTTAAAAATGAGCATTGGCAACAAAACAGCATTTATGCCTTAATGCTATAATTCTAAAAATTATATTGAAATATTTAGTAAGCGCTAAACAATTACCTGATATATTATCTCTTTTCTCTAGATTGAATTGTACGTCAAAAATAATTTGAACAATCTAAACAACGGTAGAGATTTAGTAGAATCTTAGCAAGACGCCATGACGCGTTTGTAAACATGCGTTTATGACTTTATGTTAACTGATGAAACTTGTTTTGCTGTGATAGTGTGGTACCGAGTGACCAAGTACGAAAAACGGAAACGCGGTTACAGCTGTGTGCTGCTAAACGCTAAAGTGAACGCGAAAAATAAAAATCGTTCGTTACACATTCGACGTAGCCCGTAGGATGAATAACAATCACCGGTCATCGGCAAAAAATCAATAACAATTAAATAGAGGCCAGAGAGACACTTTGAACTGAGAATGCCGAATACAGGGAAAACTCGAGAGGGACGCTTAGCAGTATGCACTGATTGTACTACTGTAGTAACTAGTAAATACTAAATAGTAATGTACCAAATATTTAACAAAAGTAAATCGTTTAAATCGTCGAGTCAGGGTCCAATGTCCATGGAGTGATAATATCTGATGCCACCATGGACATTGTAAATTATAATTATGGCAATTATGTGGTCTATGGAGGCTACCTTGCAATATTACAATATTACTAACCAATAATAGTGTAGCACTGTAGGTCTGGCGTCCCGACTCCCTTCCGCGTAACGACCAGTCAAGTACTCGAGTACGACAATTTCATGGCTAAAGATCGCGCGCACACACAACCAATTTGAAATCTATGACCGGACAGGGAATTTTTATTTGTTATGTGTACGTGTCACTATCTAGCAGATTAATATTTGAATTATCAATTCGCCACTCTTTAGTGTATCAATCAAGGCTCAAGAATACGACGTCGGATCATTATTGAGTAGGTAGGTCATTATCAAAAAATAAAAATGAGTAAAATAAGTTCGAATTCAATGATATTTAAAGATAAATAAATGAATATGATAAACTAAACAACTTACTAAATTAAATTAATTTGCTAAATATCTCTATCAAATCCAATTTACTACCAGAAAGTCCAGAAATTATCATTAAATAAAACCAATATATTCATTTTCCCAAAAAAATCCAAAACATAAACTAAAATTGCACCAAAAGTTATATAAATAAAATTATTTTGTTAAATTAAATTTAACTCGAGAGTTTTCCAATTGTATACTTATTGTAAACGATAACTTCTTAATTTTTTATCTCAATAGTCATTACGAATATTACGATCGTCCGCTATTCACTTGGAGACCGGACACCGCGGTAATGCATCGCCGCAGCCGGTGCACGCACTGCGCCGCGTCGCTAGTTCGCTCGCTCGACGTCCGTCACTCCGTCGGGGCATCCACAGTCGAATACACCTACAAATTAATATTACGACAGTACGACGACGAGTGACCACCCCAGCACTATTGGACCTACAACCGCCATTAATCGCCAACACTAGCCATTTGTTAAGTCGCCCCAGCGATTTCGTCATACGACCATTTTGATTGCCGTCTTCGCCTTCAATCGTGTTGCCAGAGTGTGTGTGTGTGTGTTCGGCGGCTGTTCATCGTGCAACACATTCCGTTCCTGAGTGGTCCCGCTGACCATCATCATCGGGCGGTTCGAGAACAACGCTGTCACACTAGGACCCATGTTTTAGCCCCTATTTCGTCTCGTGTGTGAGCAACGGGCCCTCATCGCCCTACTCACGACGCCGCCTACCGCCAGAGTCCGGCCCCGATCAATTCAGAGACCATCGGGAAACTTACCCAAGAGGTGAGCGAATTGGTGTCCTAGCTCGAACTGGGTGATGGACCAATTTTTAAAAAAAAATTTATAATAATAATATATTATGAGGTAAATGACGACGCAGACACACACCGGCAATCGTGTCTGTATACACCGTGCTCGTGGCACGCACGATTCGCCGCCAATCGTTTGGTGTGTGTGTGTGTGTGTCATTTCGTTATCGTTGTTATTAATTATTATTTTCTTATGACGATTATAATAATTATAATAATAATAAATGATGTCGAAATATATATCATAATAATATATTATTAACCATTTTAATATTATGCATTATAATAACAATAATAATAATATAAATAATTTATTTGTGCATTTTATCTTCTTCTTTCTTCAATTAGTTTTCAGCGAAAAAAATAAGAGTATTTTTTTTTATCGACGGCTTTTTTAAACTTAATTCAAGCTAAGAGTACATTTAGATATGCCGGATATCTGATTAAATTTTTTATTTTTTACATTAATCAGTTAGTTTGTGTCGTGAAAGTCTCGTCGATCGCGTGTTGCTCTGTCTTCCGTAAACTTGTTCTAAGTATTAAAGTCATGTATTTATCGACAAAAAGTGTGTTCCCGTTATATATTTCGGCACCTCGATATGCTCGCTGCGATGGAAGGTAAGATCTACCAGAAAACAGCGATCTTTGGGTGGGTTGGGCCATTTCAGGATAAATGGACGTTCTACTGATATAATATAAATTTCATAACTTTTATTTATTTGTTTAATTTAAACTTTTTCAATGTTCTAATACATAAAGGTTTTATTACAAGTTCAGGATTATATTTTTAGACAAATTTCACCTATGCTTCTTATCCTGAACTTCATAATATTCATTATTTTAAGTATAGAAGTTTCTAATGGAAATTATTTATGCATAGGAGTAGTGTATTTAACGTGCACAAATGGAATCAGACAATTCTACAAATTCTGATGACTCACAATCAAATAACTCAAGCCAATCTGCATCACCAGAAACTGTAACTAGAGAGCAATCTGTTAGCGGTTCACCTTCTGCATCCAGTCATAATTCTGCCCCACCGAGCCCTGACAATAACACTTCTGGGTCTCAGAGCATAGATAATGGAGTACAAAGTCCAGAACAAGACAATGATGATGATGATGATGATCCTCAGTCACCTGATAGTTCAACATCTAAATCTAAAAGTCCTGCTATTGAACCTTGTAGTCCTGAACATCAACAAAATGATGAGCCACAAAGTCCGAGTTCAGAATCTAGTTCATCGAGTCGTGTATCTTCTACAGCTGCTTCTCCTGACAGAAATAGTCATTCTCGACCTTCATCCAAAGTTTCTTCAAGAAGCAATGAATCTGATAAAGAAACAAAAGAACCTCATGATAATTATTTATCAGATGTTTCTGATGAAGACTCAATGGATAATATAAATGATGATAATACTTCTCAAGTAAAAAAAAAATATTTACATAATTAAATGATAGTGGATATGTATCATATATTATTTTATTTATTTTTTTTACAGAAAAGTGCAAAAGAATGGAAAAGTGATAATGATACTCATTCTTCTTCGAAAGAAATTGTTATTCCAGTTAACGGCCATAATAATGTGGATGCTAAGACTGAGCCTAATGTAGTTAATGACCCTGAAGAACCTTTAGATTTTGAAGCTGAAGATGGGGAAGACGGGGAATGTGATGAACCAAAACCAGTTAAAGACGAGACTGAGGTTGAAGAAGAAAAAGAACCTGAAGAACTTGAAGAGGGTGAAGTTTCTGATGAAGGTGAACATCGGCCAGAAGAGACAGAACCCAGACCAATATGTCGATTTTACTCGAGAGGACAATGTACTTGGGGTGCAAGCTGTCGGTGAGTAATATGCTGATGTAAAAATATTTAAGGACCTAAATGAATCTATCAAGAATGGTCTATTTAGATTTTTGCATCCGGGTGTCGCGGACAAAGGCAATTATTCAATGTTTGAAATGGTACGCCCAATACCACCACCTGGTAGTTTACCATCGTTTTATCCAAATGATTCTTATCGAACACATGAAAGAACTTTGGTAAATATTGTTTTTACTTATTTCTTTTTTAAACTATAACATAAGGGAGTTATATTGAATAGATTCCTGGAGGTCCGATTGCTCCAATAAAAAAAGATGATATACCACCTGTTGAAACTGCTTGGGAAAGAGGATTACGTCAAGCTAAAGAGGTAAAGAGAATACTTTATAATAAAAAAATTGTAAAATGATAATTAGATGAAACAATAATTCTGAAATTAAATATTTATATTATATATTATTAGATACTTAAAAAATCTAATAAAAAAAAAGAAACTGATATTGACTTTGAAGAAAAAAAAATGAACTTAACATCAAATCAAGAAGAAGTAGAGAAAGAAAATGATTACTATGCGCAGCGTCCAACTAGTCCAACTGCTTCACCTGCACTAAGCCCTCCTATTGAAAGATTGTAAGTACAAAAAAAAAAAAAAAAAGAATTGAATAAGATATTTTATTTTAATTTTATTATTTTTATAGTAAACCTGATTTAGAAGCTCGGCATCATAGGGGTCCTCTTCCAGATGCTTATGTGGACGAATTTATGCCACCACAAGTAGATTTTTATCATCACCGACCAGAATTTTGGCCTCCTCATCATGGTCGCCCTTTACCTCATTTTCCACCTGGACATCCAATTGATTTTCATGCTCCTCCACGGAGAAATCCATATTATCCATATCCACCTCCTGAACCTTATTATCATCCAGGTTTGAAACCTCACCATCGAGGCTTACCTCCTAAATACCCTCCTAATAGAGAAGTAATAATGCAGCGTTCTGAGAAATCTTATAGGTAATCATTTAATTTATTAGAATGTTCATTAATAGTTTTATAAATTCAATAAATTAAATGTAGCCCTCAACCTTCTGGTCATCGTAATAGAAGAGATAGGTCATCTAGTCGACCACGTAGAGGAGATGATTGGTCTGATCCATGGATGAGATCTAAATCACCTGGAGGTCGTTCTAAACTTAGAGGAAGAAAGAAGTCTTATTCTTCACATTCTTCGTTCTCGTCATCAAGGTACTAAATAATTTTAATATTTTATCTACTAAATTACATCTTACAGTAATGTTAACAGATCCAGCAGTAGTTCAAGTAATTCAAGCTATAGCTCACGGAGTCGTTCAAGAGGTAGATCTAATTCAATTACAAAAAATAGGAAGAAAGCACCTCCATTATCATTTAAAACTTCTCCTGGCCGTAAAACAAATAGAAAGCCAGGTAATTATTGTTAATTTAATTCATAAAATAAAGAAATTTAACTTGCTTAAAATTGGACTTGGCTTATAATATATTTTAAATACAAAATCAGTTATTATATTGTAGATATATTTTAGCATTTTGACATTGTTTATTGATGTCTGTGTATGAATTAAAATTTAAAGAAAATAATTATTGTTAATGTGTTTAAAGATATATTTTAGATTTATTAAGTAACTAATTTACTTAATTTAAGTTCAAAATAAATAATAGGTAACTAAAGATATTTTTCATATTTTTTGTCTATTTTATAAGTAATGTTTCGATATCTGTTGTCAATAAATACCAAAAGGGTATTTTGAAAAAATATTTTTTTTCTGATGTCCTTTAATTAATTTAAAATACTATTTTAATTAATATTTATGTTATATGCATGCCATTAATAATTTATATTTTAGAGAGGAATCCTTCTCCAGATGCATTTGACAAAAAACCAATGAATCGATCTATGAATCCCCCAGTGCCAACTAATAGATGGTCTGTTTCTCCAACTAATACACCAGCTTCTATACAACCTGTACAAAGGTAAACATTTTTTATTTTTTTTTTTTTACTGCATATATCATTGTTATGAAATATTATGTTTTTTTTTTTTTAGAGCTAGACAAATGCCAATGCCACCTAGATTTGCAGTAAATAAATCAAGTGGAGCTAAGTCTCCAGCTACTACTCATACTTCTTCATCTTCTTCAAGCAGTGAATCAGCCTCTGGATCAGGTTCTTCAGAATCTTCTGACTCAAGTGGTTCAGAATCTTCATCTGAAGGAGGAAGTCCGAAACAAAAAAAACTAGGATTGTCTCCAGACAAATTGCTTAAAAAAAAAGTATGTACATACATACAAGTCAATTTTTAATATTTATGTAATTATCAATTTTGTTTAGATGCAGAAAGCACAATTAAAATTAAATAAGAAGAAAATGACAGCTCCAATTGTTCCTCCAGTTAAAAAAGGTTAAATTTATAAAATATATATTAATAGTTCACATACAATAATATTGATATTTATACTAAATAGAGTTAAATTATACATTATTATATTTTAAATTTTTTTAGAAAAATCAGTTTCTCAAGGAAAAAAGAGATCATTAGAATCCGATAATGATGATACTAAAAGTTCTTCTCCGCCAAGAGTAAGTATTATCATATTAGGTACCATTTTGGAGCACTCTTTATTCTTATGTTTCCATATAACAAATGTCAAAAAAAAAAATTCGTTCAGCAGAACTAATTTTGCTTTATTGACTTAAATATTAGAGTAAATTTAATTTTTATCAAATGTAGATAGGTTTAAATATTACCTAGAACACTTAAGGTATTTACTGACATTTTTAAATTTTTAAAGAGATCTTAAATATTATAATTTTAAAATGTCTATAACTTGCTTTCAAATTTAAACATAAATTTTTGTTTACATTTTAACATTAAAACTGTCTTAAATACTTATGTACATTAAATACATAATTCCACGTAAACTTAGAACTATTTTAATGTTTCCATTTAAATATTATAAATTAAAGCCTATGAGTTTCCTAATGATGCCAATGACTATGGATAAGTAATGCAAATGCAATACCTAGTTTATAGGTAGGTGCCACGGTGGACATTGAGTCTGTAAGATATAGGGTATACAAATTATAGATATTTGAATGTAACTACATAATATTTGTTTGATATTTTAATTCTGTAAATTTAATATTTACTAGTATTAATTTGTATACTGTTCTCAAAATCTAAGTTATATTTTATTGAGTAGACGATTTTAATAATAAATATAGATAAAGAATCTATCATCATTTGGCTATTAATTATTAGTTTAATAATTTTTTAATGGGAAGAAATTTTTTTATACATAATCTTATTGTAATTTTTTTTTAAATCTAAATATTTTGATAATTTCTACAGCTTATTATAATATGGCAAGCCTGTTGTACTACTTTTTTGTGAATCCAATCAATAAAAATTGAAATTATTGAATGTAAAAAAGTTAAAAACTATTATAGTTTTTTTCGCATTTTGATAATTTTTCAGTTAAGTTTACTAATAGTTGGCTAATTCAATTAATATTATTTTGTTATAGAAGAAAGGAGCAGCACCATCAAGACGAGAAGAGTTGTTAAAACAACTAAAGGCTGTAGAAGATGCCATTGCTCGGAAAAAGTCCAAAGTAGCATTGTAAATAATTTAATTTATTTAAACAATATTAATTCTCGACTTAATAGTTGATTATTCTATATTATGTATATAGTTTTAAGTACGCTAGTATTTTAACATTAAATGATTTTTATCTCATATACATATAATTTAAAAAACAAAATATTTTAATCTTAAATTATATTGTATGTGAGATTGTCAATTTTTTTATATATAAATATATATGACAATATTAATGATATTATTAAAAAAAATTTGAAAAAATGAATGATTTGAGTGTTTTAAGTCAAGGTTACATTCCAAATGCATTTCTTCATATTAATAATTTGAATACAATTGGAGAATCGGTCTTAAATTTTTGTGTTTCTAAAATTAGAATTAATACTCAATTTAGTATAATATGTTTATCTTAAATGTATTTTGTTTTATAATTGTTGTTCTTTATTGACGAATTGAAATGTTGAATTATTTAAATGTACAACATAATTGTTAATTGGTTAAATTGAAATATATCTTATAATTTCTAATATTGTGTAAAATAAAACAAAAATTGCATAACACTTGCAAGTTCTAAGGTTGAAGTATATGAGGAAATTTTTATAGACGTTCATAGAATATTTATAATTATTTAAATTTTATTTTCATTGTATATTTCAATATTTATTTTGGATATAATTTATCAGTTCTGCAACGTAAATAATATGATGACGAATTCGATTATTGCAGTACAATGCGTCTGACCAATGTTTTAAAGATAACCAAATTAATAGAATAAATTGTCCAATGTTATCGGTGATAACAACCGATAACGTATCTACCATTTGAAAACTAATATATAAGTTTTCCTTCGCATATTTGTATACTTTATTAGAGTTTATTTTTATTTTCCTTTATTACGTAGGTACAAAACTACAAATATGCTTATAAATAGCACTTAAAATTTTAAATTAGTAAAATAACACTAGAAACTGTAAATATGCACTAATCAGCAAAATTAAATTTCTTGTATGACATTAATAAATTGTGAAACAAATTGTCTTATTCTTATTGTTCTGTGATTCGCCGAAAAAAATATATCGTATGAATTTGCTAAAACTCCGAGCCCTACTAATTAATATCGTGAAGTAAGATGCGTACTTACCAATTTTTAAATGAAAAATCAAATTCGAATTTTTGGCGAGTCCCTCGTAAATAAAGAAAACAATTTTTAAATAAAAAATAATAAAAATAAGCAATTGAATAAATTTAAAATAAAACTTGTTAGAAAAGAAATCGCTATAAATAAACTGGCAAACAAAAAAATATTGGTCAATAAAAACCGGACTTGTTTTTGTGTCGCAGGAAATGATTTGTCGACTATTTGGAGAAAAAAAATACAATAAGTAGCCACAGTAGGTAAATTAAGTATGTAATGAAATTGATTTATCTTTGATTCGTAATAATTATTTATTATTTAAAATTAATTTTAGCACATAGTTAAAAATTATTATTTCATAATCTGGTACATAAAAATAAACACAAAATGTCAGTGCAGTGGTACATAATATTATAATGTTAAAAATTATCATGTTACGTTTAAACTTTTAATTGATTAATCATGAAGGAAAAACAATAAATATAGTATCATTATTATTTTTTATCGCTAAAATTTAAATCTATACTCGACTTAATATGATATTATGTATGTTTGTCTTAAATATATTTTGCCTTGTAATTGTTGGTTAAATAATCAAGTATACAACATAACTGTTAAGAAATAAAACTAAAACATAATTTCTAATATTGTATAACGAAAAATAATAATTATTGTATAACACGCGCGAGTTTGAGGGTTGTAGTGTACGAGGAACTTTTTATCGACATTCAGAAAAGATGTAGTTCGTTGTGTTACAAATTTAACGCTAGTCTCTGTCTGTATAGTCGTTGCCTGCAAAATTGATAAAATTCTATTTCTCTGGTAAAATTTTTCCTCACTATGTCTTTCACAGCTTCGCTGACTAGCGGCTTGAATGCATTGTGATTGATCTTGTGTAGTCCCATGTCTCCTGTTAACGAAATGGGTGGTTTTACGATAAACATGTAATTTAGTTTTATTCGAACATAGAATTTAAATTTACCGTAGTATACTTGGGACGCTCCTTTGAAGAATCTCGGTATGTAATGTTCGAACACTGTTAGCGTGACGTTGAAGTCTTCCAACACGCCAACGACCGCGTACTGTTGTTCCACAGAACGTTTTGCCCTTTCCAAAGCTCCTTCCGAGTTGAACGGACTATGGTGTAAAAAAAAAAAAGAAAAAAAATGACGATAAAAAACACAATTTTTAAATTTTTAATCCAATGGTTACCGAATCGTACCCGTTTGACTTATTATTATTTATATTAATCTCAGTTATTATACATATATTTGTGCATTAACTGTACACAAATAGTCGGTCATACGCCGACTTAATTTTATGTACGCGTATACTCACCACAACAAAACGTTAAACAAAAGTATATTATATCGTTTACAATTAATTTATATATTTTATTATTTCCTCGAAAATAATCACAAATAAAAATTTAATTTCTTAAAGATCTTTAAATTGTGATTTATAAATAAATGTGTTGTAGAGATCCATAGTGACGTTAACCCTTGTAAAACTTTTTACTTAGTCTCAGTCTTATTTTTTCGACATATTGTGGCTGCACGATTGAGTTACCATGATATAATATAATCTGCTTATTTCTGCGATTTAATTTGTTTTAATACCACTGTGTGTAATATTTTTAATTGTTTAGACGTTACTTTTCCAGCTCTATCCATAACATATTATACGTTCATATTATATACGAGTATGTGATATTATAAATTCTAATACGCATAGTATTAATCGTAATACTGTGGACGAGAATGTTACCCGAATTTACTTGATGTACAGCTATAAGCATATTTGAGCTGTTATTATGCGTTAGATGCAACAATGTGGATTTGTCGAAACTGTAATAATAACAACACATAAATTTAATATAATAAAATGTTAACGTAAACTATTCGTATGTTGAATGCGCGTGTAAGGCGTGTAATATTGACAATACATCGTCTATTAGTTTCTATCTTCATCGATAGTGAATATCTTAGCAGTAAATAAGACGTGTTTACGGTACTGTCCATTAATATCAATATACCCATAACGAACCCGTTTAGTAACGTGTAAGGCCGGATTTGTTAGGAACTGTGGGTGGGTGCTGCGCTACTACTTAAGCTATTCATTTTTCGTATTCCGAATGCACGTCCGAATAAACAGCCAGAATACAATATTGTTGTAATTCAGAATACGTACCTATCCTAGTAAGTAGTATGTATTGATAGGTAAGCTAAACCCACTTTTCAAATATTAAATATTTTAAAATAACGGACAATGAGGCCACGACTGTACTAGACGAGATGTTTAAAAACTTAAAACGTCAATATAGTGAAACACGTCTCATTACTATCTATAGACACGTATATGGTGATGAGTGCGAGTAGTCTAAAATCAATACAGCTGACTATGTAGCTAAGTTCGCACAAAAATATATGGGTACGTTATATATATGATCTAATAATGTACAGAATTGTATATAGGGGTCGATAACAATTTTTTAATCGGAATATATTATAGATTACGGCTAAAAGACCAAAAATGTACTCTGGAATGTACTTTGATTACATATTTATGTGAATATTACCATAAATACCTAACCGAACGAGTGAATTACAAGCATAAAAATAAATACCTAGTCGAAATCGTTTTAAAACAATGGAAAATAGCACCTCGTATGTCGTTTGCTTAATTGTTTGTTGACGGTTTCACCGCAGAAGACCTAATAATTGTCATACGTCTATATTATAATGTATAATCTTATATAATCAGCTGTGGACTGTAGACTATAGAAAAAATAACATCACAATTATGTATATATAATATAATAACATGATAGTGTGACCAGAGACGGCTATGAAATTTGTCGAATGTCTGAATATCATAATATTATTTATTCCTAATCGTTATAACTTATAACATTAGGCTACTGCAGTTCAAATTGGTTATTAATACATCGAGACTCAAACACTTACTATATTGTACGTAGGTAGCGCCTATATAAATAGCCAAATAGGTTATAAATGTTATAATATAGACACCATTACACTATTATTATGTACACACAGTAATTTTGTTAAAGCTTTAAAGGTAACCAGTAAGGTAGTAATTACTTATCTTTTCGAAAAGTATTAACGATCTAGGAAATATTTTGAAGTCATTATTTGTTACAAAATTCATAATATATTTTATTTTATAATTATATATTTTTTAAATCTTTACTCTTTTGAATAATATATTTTATTTATTTCAAAACAAAATATTTTTATGCACATTCAATACATAGTTAAATTATATCAAACAAGATATTAAATATATACACCTATCTTTTAAGTACTTATGACAATGACTTGGATTTTAATAACCAACAAATTACAATTTTAAAGAAAAATTAACTGTATAAGTTAAGTATTTTTATGTTTAATGAACCATAGTAGGTATACAAAACTTAGTACTTAAAAATTAAAAATATCAAGTTTAAAGTATAAATACTAAATTTAAAGAGTTCAATATAAAAAAAAATATGTAACCCTTAAGAGCTGATTCCATCTCGCACAAAAACGCATTTTAATTGAGAGATGGATTTTCCGACCTAAAATCCGCGGCAGAAAAATATTTAAAAACATTCTGTACATTATGTACAGAACAATTGAAAATACAATTTACAGTTTTAAAATTTCCTATGTCTAAATTGAATATTATACTTTGAATACTGTGATATGGAAAATAATTAAGAAAAAAAAAAATACAATACAATCCTATCACTTCAGCTTAGACTAATTAATTACTTATTATACAATTTAAAATTTAATTTTTGTATAAAAATCAATAAAAAAATAATTGCTTTGAATTATTTATCGTTAAAAACGTATGCTGCCAGTTGAATAAATAAACATTAAAAAAAAAAAAAAAAAAAATAGAAAAAATTATTATTTTATTTATGAAAATGTTGATTTGTAATGAACTTT